ATAAGATTAAAAGCCGTCAAAGTTATTAAAATTTACAGCAAAAAGAGAGCAATAAAAACTAATAAAAAATAGTTATAAAACCAAAATAAGTTATGCTTGCAGTAAAATGACATCAGCTTGAAGAATGTGTCGAACGATTTGAAAGAATTTTGCCCCTGTAAAAAGTCAATTAACAGTAGTTATTTTATTTTACTTTATTTATTTACAAATGCCTCTGTTCGGTGGCAACCGAGGAATATCGTTTAAGCTAAACACATTTTAAAATTTCTTTATCTCCAGCAGTAATATTTTAGAAACTCTACTTTTGTTTTCCACACAATTTTTTCATTACAAACGGCCTCAAGCTTAATAAAAAAAGTAATAATAAATTATTTCTATGGGTTTAAAAATTGTAAAAATTGGTTCGAACGTTGGTAACAGCCAAGGCAAATTTATATAAGGTGGTGTTGTTTAATCAGCTGTGTGTAGCGTTTGATTGTCAAAATTTTATATTTTGCTAGTGAGTGAGTGAAAACGTGAGAGTGTTTGCATTTTCTGTCGCCCTTTTTCATTCGGAGAACAATAGCTGAAATTTGACAATCCCCAGCTAAAAGCAAAAACAAAATACAGCTAATGTTGTATTTGTTGAATCGATACCACCTTATATGAATTCGCCTTGGTAACAGCATTATAAATGAAATGAGAGAATCTCCATCGATCCCACATCTTGAAAACAATTTTATTGAAGTTCCAAAGTGACAAATATGGGTTTTTTTTGCATTTTTCAGCCAAACGGTAAGGTTTATAACAGCAATTCAAAAGTTAGTACAAAATTGTAATTCACACTTAGTGATTCTAATTGTTTGATTTTCGTCGCTTTGGCTCAAAAAATATTCAATACTGGAACCTTTTCTTAAATTATGCAAAATTAGCGACTAATCAATGAATACCTGTAACTACAAATCCGGTTGAACAATATCTTTGACACAGATGATAGCAAATTTAATAAGCTTCACTGGTTTAAAAAGGAATTTAAGATTCGCCAGCTATATCGAAAAAGAACGATTTCAATTAAGCCGAAATGTTCTACTTTCTTATATTTTTACTTCACGTTCGGATTAGTGGAAAGTTTTACATAAAAGTAATATCAATCAGACGAATAGTTTTCTAAAATTGCTCATAATTCACACGGATTCCATCACCTACAATGTTATTGTTTTTATTTCATGCAATGTTATTTAGTTAAACAGAACCATAAATAAGTCATGTAATAGGCATAAGGGCACCCGCAGAGTGAAAGCTGAAATCCGAGCCGAGAATCAAGATGTGAATATCGAGAAATAAGCTCTATGAAATGCATACAGTTTCATAAAATATCGCGCTGATACCGCAGAGCGTACAAATGCGAGAAAACCAGTTTTGAACTATTATTCAGCCGATTATCTTGAGAGGTGGTTGCCAGTGATTTTAATCAAAGTTAGGGATATGGATATTTTAATAAGTGAAGTGTTTTCTCGCCCTGCTCTTTGGGAGCAAAAAAAAATATAAGCTATCATAATCGAATAAAGAAATTTAATTTTTTTTTTGTTAATATTCATTGAAACCTTTTCGGAATATAATCAAAAGTTTCAATTTTCAAGCGGAACTCTTCATATGTTGATGAAATTCACTTCGTCTTTGATTTATTGGTTGAATTCCTGACACTTGCTCCTTAAATAAATATTTCCTACAGAACTTGTATGCAAAATATTTTTAATATAAAAAAATTAAACTAAGCTGATTCTCGCATGCACTCTGTGGTGTGCGGAGCCGCTCAGCTCTGCTTTTCAGCGCTCACTCAGGAAATGTGTGCACGTTATGGAGAACACAACTTTTTGAATTGCTACAGCTCAGAAGTTGGGATTCTTAGAAATAAAAGTGTTGGCACAATTTGTATAGAAGGTAGCATGATTTTCATTTTAGTTTAACCTATTTTCACGATAAACGTTACCGTTGCTTACTGTGGCTGAAAAGTGGAAAAAACTCATATATTTGATATGTGACTTTGAATAAATTTTTATTTTGCAGACCTGGCATCGATGGAAACTTTTCACATTTCATTTACAAGCGTGTTCCTAACATTCGTACAAATTTTCTATGCGTGATTAGTGTAACCTTAAATGTCTAACTTTACTGGGATATCAGAATTTTTTATAAGATCAATATGGGACTTTTTTGTGTTTAATCGACTTAAATTCATCGGAACATTTTTTGATATAACTTAGTAACTTTGGACCACGTGAACCGATTTCGATAATTCTTTTTTTTTTTTCGGAAAAGAGGTACCTCAAGGGCGGTTCCAAACTTGTTTAGATCCTCCAAAATTTGTATATATTTTTTTATATTTATAATCGGCTTGTTTTCGTATATTGTACCCCTTGACCAAGAAATTTTCTTACGGACAATCCACTAGCTTTCATAGGTCATATTTTTGTCAGTGTGCATTATCGTCGTTAAAAGTACAAAACCACGTATCAACAAAATGCAAAACCGCGTATCAAGATAATGCAAAAAAAATTATTTTCTAGAGAGTAAAAACACTATTTCAAAACGGTTCTCTTTTTTGTAAAGCAATCGCATTTCTGGTTAGAATATTTCAGGACGAAAGGATAAAGCTTGAGCCAAGAGCTTGTGTGACCTGATCCAATTTTTGGCAAAAAATAGCAGATACGCGGTTTTGCAGAACGACAAGACGCAGTTTTGTACTTTAAGCGACGATATGTTTGTAAATACATATACGCTAAACAAATATAAGTTTGTTGGTATCTAATGTGATTTTTTTTATAGAGACATTCCTGCTATTCTGCGCTAAAAATTTTAAGAAGAATTTTCCAGTTTCCAGGCTCGCAATGCTAATAGACTCAGAGAATTGAAATATATACCAATAAAAGTTTAGGATTTGTTATTGGTGGCCTTATAATAACTCGTTTTTAACAATTTTACAAATCTCGATGCCTTTTTTATGAAAAAGCTAATTTAACTAAAAAATATATCTTAACTTAGCAAAAGAAAAATGAAATAACAGAAATCAGTTGGCTTTGAATATGCTGAAGGTAAGCAGCAATATAGTGGGGCGCATTCAGCTTAGTAAAGTAAAGACGTTGCTCTACTTTTGATAAATTGAAATATTGGCTGCTCCGTTTCGATTTGAAACATTTACTGATATAAATACTACATACATATGAAAGTGTAGATGTAGGCTAAAAGAAAAGCAAATACAATTTTGATTTATATAAACCACCTGAATCATGCTGAGCTTATGGTTTATCGAATACTCCTCGCATGGTCTAGAGGCACTTTCTTACAAATATCGACCTTGAAATGTTGCACTAGCTTATCTCTTCGCGGTAGAATCAGAATTTTACCTTTTTTAACAAACAGTAACTGTACTATGTAACTATGAATACAGAAATATATGGCGAATATATTACATCCATACAATGAATTTTTATTAGGTTTATTTGAAAGTTATGGTGAGAATGATGTAGAAGGAATTTTTTTATAAAGGACTTTTTCTATATTTGAAGTCTAGATTAGATTATATTGTTAACTAGAGAAGGAGAAAATGTCGCATCTTTTGGCGAAGTGCGATTCAGGTGCCTGCCTTTCAGTTACGGTGATGCTAGGAATCAAAGTCTTGGCCAGTCCGAATTTATACAAACAAGGTGGTATCGGTGGAGCAAAAACAAAAATTACAATTACAAATTATGCTCAAAATCACAGCAAGAAACACCACAAATGCATAAAAAACACAAAATTTCAGCTATTCCGGCAGCGCCACCTTGTATGAATTCGTATTGGTCTGGCCCTAATAGGGCTAAAAATTGTCAAATAAATTTATGTTCCTCGCACTAAATCCTGCATCGTCACTCTAAAAAAAATTGCAAGAAAGCCTGTAAAAATTCTTAAACATTCCAGGAAAGGTGTTTTGATTTAACTCTTGTCACTTTTTCTGGCATGGAGGATTCCGCTTGTTTGTTACCTTTTGCAGTTTTTCAATAATTTTGCCTTCCGCATTCGCCAAACGGAGCTTCGTGGCGGACCGATGAGAACACTCACTATAATACCTACTACTTCATTGCGCATAATTCCACTGTGATCCGGTATCTAAATGAGATAAAATCGGTTTCTGCGTGTGAGCTGAAGGAAGTTCCAATGTTTTTGTGGATCTATCCTCTTTCTGCAAATTGTTGCATAACTTGTCCATTGCTAGCAAAATAAAACATTTTACATAAGGATTATTAAGGTTTTGCAGCTGGTTTAACTCGGACAGTTAACCACCAGAACAGAAGTTAAGTTAGAGCTTGTCAACAAGAATGACTCCTTGAAGAAACGGTTTTATTAACTTTATAGGAAATATCTGGACAAAAAAAAAAACTTGGATGGTCTCCTTTTGGTTATCAGTTAACCCAATCGGACTGCTCAATTTGACTGCAGCTATTTTTGATCTTCATGAATTTCTTACCTTTTTGTATCCCTTGCTAATTAAAATAATATTGATTCCAAAGACTAAAACAACTTAAAACGAAACACAAAATTTAATTTCTTAGTCCTATCATTTGAATGTGCATCATACAAATACCTTTGATTGCGGTAACTAATCTGATATTTCAAGCGTTGACCTCTTTTGAATTGAAATTTTTTAAGCAGCGCAAAGCAATTTCTTGGTGCTTGTAATTGCAAGAACTCGAAAAGCAAAAATAAGCTTACAAAATCTGCAAAAAATTTTATCTTTTAAGATACATCACTAACTTCAAAGCCAAAAAAAAACATCAAATAACAAAGCCTTCGCTGTTCTCATCACCGCTCATTGTAGCTAAAAAAAAATTCTGTCTGATTCTGCAGGCAGCAGAGAAAAAAATATTTTCTAACTTTGCCATTTGGTGTGCCCTACGAAGACCGGTTTTTAGTATGACTAACTTTTATAGCGCATTTCGTATACGTATACAGCAGTTTCTTTTTAGTTTCTTTATAATTTTTGCGCGCACGTAGCATGTGTTGGTAACTTTTTTAGAATCAAAAACAAACGCTGATATTCATGCAATTTTCTGAAAAATTTCATAATTTTTCCTTATTACAACACATCGTACACCAATATTGTTGTTATGTTCTCCATGATTTTTTTTATAAATATATTGTAATTTCTTAAACCTTCTTTCAGTTACTACTCTATAAAATCATTAGAGAAAATTTCACGCTGATTGTCTTAGCTGCCAAAACACTGCTTATAAACTCATAAAAATCTTAGCGGTTGGTTGATTGCTTGTACGAGTGTGGGCACTTAAGTAAATTTGGAAGTGAAATACTAATGCGTTTTATCTTTAATTGGCGGCAAATCGAATGCGGCACCAATTTACCACAACAAAACAAAAAAAAAAACTGCACTAGAAACAAAAGACTTAAGCGAGCAACTCATTCTGTGACAATTCGTGCACCTCTGTGGGCAAGTGGATACTGATTTTAAGCAAAAGTTGTGCATAAAAGTGCATGGAAAAGACAAATAATCTTAAAAAGAGTGCAACAAAATTAGAATTTATATGTATGTCTAAAGTAAGCACTAAATATCTCCTTTTCCTTACAGTTAATTCTATTAGAATGAAAATGTGATTGTGAAATTAGAAAACTCATTTTTTTCTGTTAAAGATCGTGTCAAACAAAAGCCACAAAATACATACCAAGTGACCTTAATTGCGCGACCCCTCCGAAAAAATAGGGAGAAATAACGGTTATTTTCCATAAGCAACATCACGTAAAGTGAAATAAGTTATCAACGTTCCCAGTAAAGCCAACAACGAAGCCGTCAATTTGTGGTCGAATAATAGCCAAAAATCGTAAAAAATTTATACAAAAATTTTGTTCGCGAAACTGCCACTCCAACGAAAGGTGGAAAAGTAAAGCACAATAAAATCATAAGAAGCCTAGTACGGCTGACGAAACAGGGAAGTGCAATTGGAAAATCAACCAATACAGTGAGAAAATCAACAAAGCGCAAAGCACTTGTACGAATTAAATTAGCGCACACAAAGTTGCAGTGCACGAAAAAAAAACATTAAAAATTGTTGGTTCGTTCTTTAATTGCAGCAAGTTAGCCTAAGACTAATTGCATCATCTACCCATTATTAGAAGCAGCTCTTACCGCAATGTTCATTGACCGCAGACTGCCTTCCGTGCATTTGCTTTCGAATAACTATTTTGAAGCTCAACTTTCCAATGCCATTAATATTGAGTGAGGAGCATATACGAGAAATTAAATCATATCGCAAATAACCATCTTTCTGAGATAAAATTATTTCTCTCATAATAAAAATAGGACTTTTACCATACACGCAAGCCGCGTGTTGATGTTTTTGGCTTTTTCTTTGCCACTTCAATTTCTCGAGCTACCAAAATTGCAAAACGTATTAATGGGTTGTACGCAGTAGCAAACAAAGTTTCGTGTTAACAGCCATTTAATTGCTCAAGTCTCGTAGTGGAGGTCAGCTAGATGTTGGTAATTATGGCTATATTTCTTTCTTCTGTAGATTGCCTTTGATATTTTGACTCACACTAAGTGCAGATATATTTTTGTTTTTATATTTTGAGTGTATTAATATTTGTAACAGTACAAACTTTGTTGAACTCGCGGCTAAACAAATTGGTCATTAGTAGGTATTATTTAATTACTGGGAATTTCACGCATATGCCTTTCACGCGCATAAATAACTTGGTAATTATGCTTTTAAATCAGTTCTGCAAAAGTTATTAGATTATTTAAAATAGGAAATTTTCTTTGAAAGAATAACCAGCCAAATAACGGAGGCCTCCTCGGGCGGCTCCGAAAGGAGTTCCAAAGGAGCGTATCCGTCAGAGAAAAGTGCTTACTCAATAATAGTGGATGAAAATATGTGCCTATAGAACTACTTAAATTAGTGAAGAGAATTAGAGAAAGCTCTCTCTTAGATACTCCACTAAGACAGTGCTCGTTCCTGATTTCTGACTAGCCTATGTCATTGCTCAAGTGAATTGCTCGAAAGAATTTTATGAGTACCTTTATGGTTTAATAGAGCCAGTAAACCCCTAAGGCTGAGGCCACGCAATGAGGCAAAGCGACGATCGGCGGAGCGGTGAGCGGCTTAAAATTAAAACATATGGCATGCTATTGAAGTGGTCAGGCCACACAATGAGCGGAATTTCTGAATGGTTGGGCGGCGTGACATCGGCCTTAGGAAAGCAGTCCCATCTCATACCTACTGCTCGGCTGTAGTAGTAAAGATCAAATCATGACTTTTTCATTACTCTCGTAGCCCTAGAAATATACTTTCGCACAACGCTGCAAGCTAAGAAATGGGACAGCCCTGGGCGGGTATAATGCTCACTGACTTTAAGGGCACGAAAGAGTTGCTTGCCAGGAAGGGCGCCGTTTATCTAAGAGATCGTTCAAGACGGTAGTGTAATCCTCGGCAAGTTCATCTACTAAGCTTTCGGTAAGAGTCGAGTTCTCGTCAGGTGGCAAAGACAGAGCGGAATTCAAGATTTGATATAATTGCTTGAACAACTTCCTAAAGCTCACTCTGGCCATTGCTCGATGTACGAAGAGTGTTTGTGAAGACTATACTATACTGGATCATGGGCTTCATTACCGCCAGCTTTGGAGCACCGCATAACGCTTTCTGTAGACTCTGTAGAAGAAATAGAAGGCACTTCTTATGCATGTGTCCCGCATTTCGGAGAAAGCGCTTTAAATCTCTGGGAAGCACCACTTTGAAAACGCTAACAGCTTAGGGGAATTTCCATTGGGAGTCGTAGTACTAGGATTCGCCAGAAAATCGGGATGGTTTAAAAATTGACCTGTGCGAAATCCGAGTAAAATCTTTAGCAGTGCGTCAAACTTAATCAAATAGGTTATTGAAAAGCAAAAGTTAAGGTGGAAAAGCATTTGCATCACACAAAATTATGGATTGAAATTAAGGATGGGAAACCTATTACCTGTGTCATCAATCTTCTTCAGGGCAGTCTCTTCTTTGGGCGTTTGCTTTACTAAATTTAAAATAGTATAAAACCTAATCTGTAGCCTATTCTTCCATTCATAATTCAAATACATATAAATGTATGGCTCGTATTTGGTGGTTTCTGCAGTAAAATCTGGTCACTCGGTGCCGACCTTTCCCCTTCTCGATGCATGCAGATGTATACCTATATATACTTATATAAATTTATCGACAAATAATAAAAAGTGTGAATTTTTGATAAACATTTTTTTTTTTAGGTTGATTCATTTTTGTGAACTTCGTGCAATTTTTTAATTTTTGATTTCTGTGGTTTCTATTATAGATCGTACTGTATTTTAAATGAAAATTCTTAAAAATAAATAAAAAAAAAAAACATAAGTTGCAAATAATACCATTTTGAAATTTGTTGCAAATGACATGTCCGATACTAAATCCGTTGTTTTTGGTACTAACACTTTCAAACTTTGATCGAAGGTGTATTTTTTGATACATCCTACCAAAATCTGTGAAAAACACAGTTTCGAAAAAAGCGTTGGTTAGGGCCTTTGTAAATTAATTTAACGATATATATGGGTGGGTATTAATGTTTTATATTTTCGCGGCTCGACTGAGCTTCCTTTACTTTTTAAACCCAACAGCAATGCAAACACTGCAATATAATACCATCTCCACTTTACCACCGTTTTGCAAAATACAACTTACTAAACTTTATGCAAGTTATTTTGAAGTACATACATACATAGCTAGAAGTATAACTTTAAATGCAAAACCAAATTTGATATGGTAAATATCGTTACTAGTTGTTAACACATAATCGCTTTGCTTTGTTATGCTTTGTACCGTTATGAGTGTGCTACTTTGCACCTTTTCGCGCGGTTTTTGATTTTATGCAATTAATTTGGTAGTGATTGTTGAAGAGTTTTAAAGTTGTGAGCGCATAGCATACATACATACAAATGAAAATATAAATATGTATAAATGCGCAGATCTTAACGAAATTGCATAATATTAAATGCTATTTATGCCAAGTGTGTGATAGCCAAAAACGGTAGCCGATTCATTGAGGTAAGGGTGTTAGGTGTACTGAAACACTGATAATTTTTTTGAGGTTGTGCTTACTGATTTTGGCTTATGTGTAATGTGTGTGGGAGTTTTGCTGGGACCGCTTTTTATTGGACATTTAGTAAGCAAATAGTAATGGAAATGCGATGGGGTAAGCTCAATCTAATCTAATTCTAAGCTCAAACCTGACTCGTTGCTCAGATTGCGGTAACCGGGCAAAGCTTTGGGCCACCGGTCGCAGTGGAAATAGCGAAATCTTTGGCCGGGCCTTTCTGAGTTACTTTGTTCAATGGATCATTGAAGTCAGTGTTATCTATCCACCACTAGGCCTGGCCGCAATCGGGACCCAGTCTTGTTGCAAGCTTATTGCTATGTAATTATAATTATTTATTTGTTTTTGAATTATCCTAGTAAGAAGTTTTGGAACTTTATAAAAGAGTAGAGTCTCTTTAATGAAGCAAGATAAAATAGCTTAATATGCAAACAAGCTTTGGAGATTAAGACATCTCAAAAAAACATTGAATTGCTTGTCCAACAGCAAGACTAAAATTTGCATATTTAATTTTTGTTAAAAGAAAACGGAATTGCTTTACACATAAATAACGAGCTATTCAAAAAATTAAATAGAAATACAGCGATAAATATTTTATTTATTTGGTCGTTACGGCAATGAAGCAAACAAGCTGGTGGGCGTAACAGCTGGAATCCATATTGGGGAACACATTAATATTCCACGTGATATAAGTATGTATGTAAGCATGTAGTAAATATTCTAATTTTGTGTTGAAAATTTTTAAAATTTCTTCAGTCGACCTGCTTACGGCATTAAATTAAAAAAAAAAAAAAATTTCTCGATTATAATACTTGTACTAAACTAAATTTTTGAGCTAAATTTTAAGAGAAAGTTTAAATATCTATAAAACTTCGCAAGAGCATAGGGTTAAGTTCATTGGTAATTTTAATAAAATATAGAGGTCTACCACCTGTTTGAAAATATTTCGATTAATTGGATTTATAAAATAAATAAACTATTAAAATCTTTGTATTAATCTAATAAATTTAAGCAATATTAATAGGAGAATATTTTTTAAGATTTAAGATTTTTATTCAACTAAATTGATAAGATAAATTATTACAATCAATTATCAAATCGAAGAGGCTTAAGAAAACGTAATGTTTAAGATATTTTTGAAAAGGGTTGCCACCTGTTTGAAAAATGTAAATACATTGTAGCTAAATGGGTGTCATACCAAAGTGGATTAAGTAGGCTTAATTTGAAATTATTTTTAAAGAGGTTTGCCACCTGTTTGAAAAATTTAATGCGATTAAATTGATAAAATACTTTATGAATTATTACAATTTTGTCGTCAAAGGAAAGGTGTTGAGAAAATCTTAATTAAAAGAAGAAAAAAATTGGCTACTTATTATTAAACGAATTATTCAAAAACTCTTTGATCCAGATATTTTTCAATAGGGTTATCACTAATAAATAACCTTTGTACTAAAGATTTTAGTAATAGAATTGAAATACAAATTATGAAATGCTTATGCAGCGATAACTATTGGAAAAAAGCTGCTCATACAAACATAAGAATTAAAGTAAACAAAAAAAAAAATATTAAAACATCAGATGAAAGCTCTTTAAAAAATCCTTGATTGAAACTGAATAGGGCGATTCACCAGTTTTTTCAAATTATCGAATTAAATAAATTTTTAACATAAACCATTTCCTTAGGGGTCGCAACAGTTTGCATGTTACAAAAGTAATATTTTACTTGCATATAGTAGTACAAGACTACTTACCTATTTCATGCTTAAACTTCAACATTTTATTTTTGCATTTAATTAGAGGTAAAAAACACAATTGTTATCATCAAATTTTACGCTCTATTCGGAATAACCAGTGGTTAAAAATTTTCAATATTTTTTAATTTAATGGATTGTGTTTCTCACAAAAAAAGGTTTAAAAGATTAAACAAAAGACGGGTAAAAAAAAA